AGGTTTTTATTTAATAGAATTTTTGGACCAAAAATATCGCAATATATCGCCTTGTTTACAATATATCGGGATATATCGTATCGTGACCCCTCTGTCATGATATGTATCGTATCGCCAAATTCTTGCCAATACACAGCCCTAGTTATCACAAACACTGGATTGCAGTTTTTGCTGCCAAGGGTGGCCCAACCCGTTATTAGGTTGAGGCGGCATTTACTTTTTCACACACACCCTGTATGTTCGGATTTCTTTTCCCCTTAATAATAAAGACCTTCAGTTATGAGGTGCATTTTGTGTTTACTTGTGTTATCTTTGTCTGATGTTTAAATTTGTTTGGTGATCTGAAACATTTCAATGTGACAAACATGGGAAGATTAAGAAATCAGGAACCACTGTATATATGGAACAGAAAAATGTGTGGGAGCTCAGGAATTATGAGTTATTTTTATTGACAGACATACATCAGGTCCAAAGCTGACAGTCAGGAAGCTCTCCAAAGCAGTTAGAGTCCCTGTAAACAAAGACACAACTTTATGCAAATGAACATCTTTGAGCTCCAACTTGGTTCATAAATGTAAACTGAGTGTATGCAGGTCAATATGTACTATAATATATTTTACCCTTGAACTGGTCCCTGGTGTAGATGACTCCCATGTCTGCAGGAATAGAGTCAAAGCCACAGCTCCCGATGATATAAACTCCTTTCTCAGCTGCCTGGCTGTTGTAGTTCAACTGCATGCTCTCCAAAAACTGAGTACAGTCAGGTAGAAACAGAAACACAAGTGAGTGTATGCAGGGATAAAATATAAAACAAACAAATTCTGATTTTGTTTGTGTCAACCCTGAGCAGAACATTTTTCTTTAGGTGATCTGATAAAACATCATAAAGAGACATCTTTAAAAACTCTGCTGTCCTGAGGTGATGAAATATGAAGCTTTTATTTTCCTTTCACTGAACTTTTTAAAGCTGCATCAAAACACTGACTGTTGTGTTTCAGTAAAATGTTGCACATAAACCAGTCTGACAGCAGAGAGCAGCAGCTGTTATGTAGCAAAAGTTGGGAGGTAATTGTGCTTAATTAGACGCAGCATGACACACAGCATGTCTTTAATTTCATTCAAACTCACAGTTTCAAAACTGAATGCCAGAACTTCCACCACCAGAATGCAGGTCTTTCTTGTTCATTTAAATAAAGTATAAACATCATGCTAAATTGATAAAGTACAACATTCAGTTTGCATATTACCTACAAAAGGTCAGATGCTATAAAACTGAGATGCTGAAATGACAAGTGAAGCTCAAACCAACAATCTTCCATGTCATGTAAATGAATGATTATAAAAGTTTATTTCGCAGCATTAATAAATACCTGCGGCTCTCCAGAGATGTCGATATGATGAGCTCCGTTCTCCACACAGGCTTTGACCACCGGCTCACCGAAGAATCTGTACTGTAAAATAAAACAAATTAATTCAGACCATCACACGTTTTTATTTCAAAAATTTAATTTTTTGTCTTGGTACTCAATAAGTTTATTCCGACTCCCATTTAGATAGAAACCAGAATAAAGCAAACTGTTTTTCTGTGTCTTGAATTATAACAGTATTTAATCATACTGCTCATCTAACTCGTGTGGTCAATTTGTAGCCTTTTAACCTCTCCTTGAAATAACTTACCCAAAATATAACTAACATATAACTGTATATAATGTACTGTATAGGTTTATATACTGTATATACAACATATAAACCAGGGCTATTCAAGTGGCGGCCCGCGGGCCAAATCCGGCCCGCCAATTGGTTCAATCATCTTTTAAGCCCAAACCCCCAGTTTTCTACTTTAATTACTCTGTTATTTTGGTTAGACATAGACATGATTGATATCTACAGAAACGTCAGAACCTTGGCTACAAGTTGGTATAAACCATTTCTATAAAACACTCAAGACAGTTAAAACTACAAACAATTGAAGACAGAACTATGAAAGTGAAAATAAAATTGGTTAAAAATTTGGCAAGTCAGAGATGTCAAAATATTTTGTGGTAAATAGTAGGGGTGTAAGAAAATAGTGATACACTGAAATATCGCGACATTTCATTTCCCGATACTGTATCGATTTTCTAAAGCCCTGTATCGATTTTTTTTATTAAGGTTTAAAATGTCAACTTTCCTGCCAGCCATTCATTTATATGTTGTAGTTCAGCCTCTGACCACTAGTTGGCAGCAGTGAGCCAGACATTTGGCTCCTCTACCTCTAGAAGTAGAGGCTATTGTTAAGTGTTGGGTGACCATATTGTAAATTAATATTAAAAACTAAAAGCTGCAAAAAATATATTTTCAAACTATTTATTGGCAAATTTAGTCTAATAATTGAAAACATGGATGAAATAAAACAAAAAAAAATAAAATACATACAAAGCAGAACACAGCTAAATGTATCMAAAGTATGTCTRTGTAATATWAGAATTTTCTGAGACAATGAATTTTGGTTTTTCATTTTTTCCCCTGTAAGAGGTTTTTATTTAATAGAATTTTTGGACAAAAAAATCACAATATATCACCTTGCTTACAGTATCGCAATTTATCAGGATATATACAGTATTGTATCATGACCCCTCTGTCATGATATGTATCGTATCACTAAATTCTTGCCAATACACAGCCCTAATAAATAGGAGGCATAATATGTTCTTTTTGTTTTTGATATTGTTGAATTATGACTACTTTTATATGGTTCTGTATGTTGTATTCATGATTAAATGCAGCAAAATAAACTATTTCAAAGATAACAGACCTTTGTAATACTTGGCTTATTTACATAACTTTATTTGGTGGATGTTCGGCCCCTCAGCTGTTGACCTGCAGTAACTGTAGCCCCTGGAGCAGTTTAGTTGAATAGCCCTGATATAAACCTCTTAAAAATATCACAAACAAGGCTAAAAAAAACTCCTGGAAACCATAAACCCAAATGTTTAAAAGGTAGAATGAGAAAAAAGTTTAAAATCTGCACCCAGTACCGTGGTCGTGGGGCTTAGGGGCTTTTAAATAATCTGTTGGATATTTTCTACACTTCTATTCCAATTTCTATACAAATTAATAAGCCAGAATAAACATGATTCAGGTGAATTTCCTCACTTCAGTAATAAATTTAACTATTGCCAAATCAGAAAAAAAATCAAGACAATGGAAGAAAACAAAATCTCAAAGTGTGCCTTGTATATTCAGTTCTGTTTGAGCTTGAAATCAGCTGACAGAGTGCTGCTTTGTGACACAGTGCTCACTACTGTAAAAGAACAAAACTGCTGCTGTAAACAGACTCAGTTCTGACTTTTTTTTAACAATACAACTTATTGTGAGATTGTAGGTCAGTGTCTTTCATTGTCCAGGGGGGCTGCTGTGTGCAAGTGTGCATTTTAAAAAGGGGACATATGCAAAATCCACTTCTTTAGCTGTTAAATACATTTTGTGGTGGACTTGGGAGTGTCTAGGAGTGCAGAAAATGAATTTAGTCTCTCCTGGTGGTGCAAAAATTCAGACCAAAGCATTGCATTTCCACTTTATATAGACCCCCAACTGAATGATTTAAATGTGAAAAAGAAGGATTTAAAATAATGATATGTCTACTTTAAAGACCAAGTGAGAAAAACGGGAGAAAAGACAAGAATTTATGGCATGAAGCAAACTGCCTGAAAAACGCATAAATAAACGCAACCATTTACTTACAGGCCCAACGCAGTTCAGAACAATCACAGCTTGTTTACACATAGCTGCCAGGGAGTCGGGTTCTGCAACATCTGCAACGATTATGTCCACCTGTGTTCTCAGGTTGGGCTTATCTGTCGACGGGGGAGAGAGAGAGCGAGAGACAAGTGTGAGTGAGAGAGTTAAAGGAATGACCATGTTCAGATGACCACTTGGTTCTGACAGAAACCACTGAGGATAATTAGCACTTCTCTGATGGAGAAAAATATCAAGCACAGCTAAAAATCAGAATACGTAGTACTAAATTAAAAAAAACTTTTATTTAGAGACAGCAAGTCAAGTAATGTTTGGAAAAAGCTTTTCAATTTATTTTTTTAAGATGTAAATGAACACTTCTACGATCACAAAGGTAATCTTCAAAGGTTTGACCATAGAATGAACCTTACCAAATGTGTTTTCCTAATTAATTCCAACCAATTACAATGATATTTTTTTGCAACTTAATCTCACAACTCCTATACAGAATTCACAAACACAGTGGATGACATGCTTCATTTACTGTAAACTATAACAATGTTAAAATATGTTTTTCAGTTGCTAAAAAAAGGGGCAGATTATGTAACAAAGTATGCATTAACTAGTAATACTGGTCAGCTGAAGTCCAAATGAATAAACATTTACAGATAACGATTTAACTTAAATATGTTAATTTTGCAGTTATACACTAGCAAAGCAGTATATTTATTCTGGTGAATACTGCATCAGTGTGAAATATAGTTACATTATGAAAAATAAACTCAAGTCCCCAGATACTAAAGGAGTTACACAAAATATGTTGAATAAATGAACTTGTAGAAGACCTTGTACAAACAATAAAAGTTATTTCCAGCGTGTCACAGCAATCTAAAACATCTCAAAGGTTGTTCCAGCGAGATAACTCCAGAGCTGGAGATTAATCAGTGAGTCGGTATGTTTCCATCAGCTGTTGTTCTCTCCCCGAAGGGAAGCCGAACAGGACGACACAAGAGAATGACAATCTAATCCTTTTGGAAACTTTTGTTATAAACATGACAGTGACACTTCTCCCTGGTCTAGACCTAATAAGAGCTTACATTTCCATGTTTAGAGATGTGCCTTTAAGTATGTTAGTGGCCTTTCAAATGTTTGCAATTTAAGCCTCTGTTGAAGTTAAGTCTCAACAACTTTAGCTGATGAGCAAATTTAAATTTTCATCCTTCAAGAAAATTCTAACTTTTAGGAATGCCCTCGCCAGGCAAACCAACCAAAAGTACCCCAAATCAAATAAAACAAAATCAATAAATGACTTTGTTGTTAAATACATTTTCTGGGCTGTTTGAAAGAAAAATGTTAAGGCTCTGTCACATTTTAACATTTTAGACAACTTATTCAGACTTATAAATACTTATAAAAAATTTTGTTATGACTAAATTACTCATATAGTTGTGTACTCATGATCTAAATAACATTTAGGGGTGTAACAATCTGGAACTATTAATCGATTAATCGACGACTAATCGATTATTAAAATAATCGATGACTAATTTCATAATCGATTAATCGTTTTTTTTGTTCTTTACTTTGTTTTTCTCTCCAAACTGCTTTGACACCTTCCACTGCCACATCTACCTTTCTGTCCTTGACACACATGCACAGTAGTGGTAACTGGGGTAGGCCGTGGACGTCACAAGACATTATACAGACAGGCTCTGGTATCATGGCTACCTGACAACAGAGCTCAAAGTGTGGGATCATTTTAAGAAAATGAAAGAGAAACCTGTGCAATATCTGCAGAGCAGAACTTACCTTCCACAGCAATTATTTTTAGTTAGCATATAGCTAAAATCTAACCATGCTTATATAATAGCAGCTGCATTCTGGCACGATAAGCTGTATGTTTTATATTCAATTAACGTATGATCTGATTAGTTGACTAATCGAAAAAAAATAAATCGGTGATTAATTGATTATAAAAATAATCATATGTATGTATGTGTATATAAAAAATATATATATAAATAAACACACTTAAATTTATCAATAGTTTTCAGTTAAAGTTTGCTTTGCAGATTAATCCTAGTTCTCTTCCCACAAACCAGATTAATCCTGGTTTGTGGGAAACAGCAAGAAAGTGCTGTTTAAAGCCAAAAACCAGATACTAGTTAGAGCTTTGTGGATAACCACTAAACCTGAAGCAAACAATGAAAAAGATATGAATAAACTGGATGTTTATCGAGTAATGTACCATAAATAAAATACACAAAGGCTACTTCGTCCAACAAAGACACACTCTGTCTTCTTTTAATCAGAGTTAATATTTAGTTGCAGATGCCTCAGAATACAAGACATGAACTTAATTTGTTCAATATTTCACACACAAATACCTATATCTTTTTTATTCTATTGAGAAGAGATGCAACCCAACCTTTAGACAGAGATGGGTTATTTATTTATTATTTTGATCTGATCTAATCTGTATTAAAGGGAGAGTGCAAATTAAAACTTGTCAAAGATTAAAGAATTTAACAGTCAAATTAATAGCATTTTCAACACAGTAATAAAGCTTTGAAATGATCATAAGACACAGCTACAGGGGAAACTATAAAGTGTTTCTAGAAGCAACTTATCCAGTGTTGCACAATGCTTGTGTCTGTCCTGAGCTGTGTAGTTATGACGAGGCACCAGTGCTCTGTCCTCTTTACTGCACGTTTGCATATGAGCTAATATTATAAAACAATAAATTGATTCTGATTATGGACTACACAAGATATATGGAGTTAAGGTCGTGTCCAACTGGTTGAACAAGTCTAACGGGATTCTTTCATTATCTTGAAAGGGAGTTAAGCAATGTCACATCTTTACTTTCGTGGAGTCTGATTAAATGCTTGCTGCCTAACATAAAGAAATTACATTTAATTAATCAATAAACAAGCCATTTCTGCATGCACTAAAGGACTGGCAAAATACATACTGAGGACGCCAGCGGCTTGCTCCAGAACTTTTTCCAGCTTTTGCCTGCTCCTGCCCGCCACGGCCCACTTCGTGTTCCCTTTGGGGTCTTCAGAGACGGTCCGGGCCACCTCTTCCACCACGAATTGACCAGTAAACCCAGAGGCTCCGAAGATAACCAGGTGGTACGGCCTGTCGGAGGAGGTTTCTACTCGCGCCATGGTTCTAGCAGACACTGGAGAAGCTGGCTGGGACACCTCCTTCCCAATGAGACGCTACCAGGCGGAGCGTCTGCTTCTTCTTCTTCTTCTTTTGTTTTATGGCGGTTGGTAAACAACTTATAGGTGCATTACCGCCACCTTCCAGACTGGAGTGTAGATTACATGTCCTAATAATAATTCCCATAATACCTGACTTCCTGAGAAAACTAAAAATGCTGTTAAATACTACATCCTCAGATGATCTTTGCAGCAAATTTTTAATATCTAAATTATATTTATTTCTATTTAACTCTCTGATTAACACCTCTCTTTCCTGACTATATTTATTACATTCTACAAAAATATGCTGCACTGTTTCTGACTCTCCACATTAACTACAAAAACCTGTATTATGTTTATTCATTATTTTCAAAGTACTATTTAGCCCCRTAWGCCCAAACCTTAATCTGGATATAACATCCTCTTCTTTTTTATTCCTATTACCTTCCCTACATTTCCCTACTTTTTTTTGAATGCTATAATA